GGGAGAGGGTGAGAGGCTGTTTGGTGCCTGTCACTTGTGCAGCCTGGCTGCCAGGCTGCCTTCCCTGCCTCTGTCTGGGTGCTGCTGCCTGAGAGCAGGACAGCTCAACTCTGGAGAGCCCCACGGAGTTCTGGGGTGTTGAGAAGATCCATGACAGCCAACACATAGCTGTGAGATTATATTTATCCATAGTACATGCATGATGATTGGKACKYWTTGCAGGTTTTTTTAACYTTCATWTKTTCTAAATAGTCTGCTGTGATTGGSAGAGTTTATTTTRAAACACATCTTCTGTAAGASTAACCGGATCTAGTATAAAAGTGCCTCCAGTACTCATCCCTATTTTTGATGCTATTTATCTCGCTTTGATTTGTTACTTCAGAAAGAAAATTCTTAATGGGAACGAGTGTCATGACTTTGTGCTTTACCAGAAGTWGGTAAATGAAATCTGCACCTGCACTGACAGCAGGGAGCCTTTCTGTTCTGGGGCAGCTCAGCTAGCAGCAGAGCACAGATGTCCCAATGGGGAACACTGTGTGCCAAGAGGCTCGCTTTAAAATCTCCCTTAAGCAGTAAACAGACACAGTCCCTTTGACCTGTTTTATTCAGCCTGGTCTGCACCTCAGAAATGCTAGGTCAGAGGGCAGAAAATCTGTGGCATTCTACCTTTGGTCTTGTTCAGTGTTGCTGGCACCTCCTGGCAGCCCTCCAGGCAGTGTTCCTTGCACAGCTCTGACACAGGCAATCCTGGAGTTTTACAGCTGAAGCAAAGGGCCATGTAATGTGGCATGTATTTGGTGATTCAYATGGCCTGGTCAATATTTTATTTTCCATAAGTAGCATTATTCTTCTTTTCCCCGCTTAGTAAAGGAGAAGAGCATGGATGAAACCAGAGAGAAAAAAGGTGGTCAGATGATGGTTTGGAGGGGAGAGAAGTTTGGAGTTATGGCCTGAGGGAAAGTGAAAAGACTTGTCATTGCAGCAGTGGTTACTTTTAATTTAACTCCAAGGATTTTAGAAAAACTGTGAGCACTTTAATTACATAATGACCTCTAAAATGAAGGTGAACAGAAATGCTGAATTTGTAGAACACATTTCTAACTGTCAGCCAAATTTTCTGCATAAAACCCGTTATCAGCTCAGAGAGGGGAAGATGACGCTTGCTATATGGAACTTTTCATTACATTTTTTGAAATCTTTATTGGGTATTAGAAGGCAGAAGAGAGAATTTGTCTCTTTGTCTGAGTGCTGCAGTGTCAGCCACCATGGCAGATTTTTGRGCCCCCTCATGTAAGCTGTGCCAGTGCAGTGGCTGCATGGAGGGGGGCAGGCTGTGTATTTGTGTGCAGCCTTGCTCCTGTTCCTGCCCCGTGGTGCCCAGCAAGGTGGCACAGGAAGGAGTGTGTGGGCAYCATGGCAGCTTGCTGGTAGATCTTGACTGGAAACACAGGGCAAGCAAGATCTGCAGTCTGCTAATAAAGCAGCAAAATGGCTTAGTTTGAAAAGGTATGCATGCTTCCATCACCTGCTGTAACTGGAACCAGAGTGGTGGAACAGGGAAACGTTTGCTCTTTTGAAAAACAGGAGCTTTGAATGAGTATTGGACACTAATGTAATCATCTCAATGGTTTGCTTCCTGCTTCGCTGTGGTAACATGCCACTGTGCATGCCTGTGTGCTTTTTCTAACGAGAAGGTTTTTCCCTCCTTGAAAGACAGAAAAGCTGAGGGGAGCTAATAAATTCTGAAAGCTATATTTAGCTGGGAGCAATTAAAGCTAGCACTGTATAATGACACTTGAGACTAGCTTATCCATCAGGCAAACTGCAAGATTTTGATGTTTGGTTTCAGTCAGATTGGCATTACTGTTAACTTATGCTTACATTCATTAAACTCTGCATTTTAGAAGGTGTGCCTGGTGCGGGTTGTTTTGGAGAAGTTATTTGGTTYCTTACTGTTCTCACGTTGCTCCTACTTCCATTTTCAGTGTAAACCACCATAGTCCCATGTTGCTTTCAAACGGGGTAGTTCTGCACTACCCTCCAGTCAGCAGCTGCCTGGTTTGCTCTTTTCATCATTATGCTTTTGCAGCATGTCGGTGCAGTGAAATGACTCTGCAAACACTTKGCTAAAAATTTGGCTTTTTTCCTGTAGTTATTAATTGGATTCATTTTCCACTCTAATTTCACTCTGTATTCACGTTGCTACTGGCTTTAGAAGAACTTGCTGTGGGAATAAATGGCTAACTTTGAGAAGGGAGAGAATTGGCTGGTTCCTTCCCAAGGGCCCAGCTCTGCTTGATGCAGATACACACCAAATTGCACTCTATTGCCAGATTAAGTCTTTGTTACACTCCTGTAGGCTCTTCCGGAAATATTTAGAAATGTGTGACTTCCTTAGGACTAATACAGTACAAACCAGTTTAATTAATTGCTGTAGAGTTGTTAAAAGTTCAGTTACTGCATGTTCATTCTTTTTTTTTCCTGGGTACCAAATAATTAATTTTCTCMGTTTTGCATTAAATGAACATCTGAACATCCCTCTATGATGCTCACATGAGCTGTAGTCATCCATTACAAGATGTGTTTGTTGCTCAGTTTATCCTACTATTCCAGCACATCGGGCTCTAGAATTTTTCTGGTGTCTAATGTTTGTGAATAAGTTTTTTTTATTACTTTTATTATGTGTTCACTTTTTTATTACACAGACACAAAAAAGTATAAATCAATCAACGGTGCTGTTAAGCTGATCTGTATTTCCCAAATGATTTTAGAAATTATGCACTTATATTGGGAAATATTCAGAAACAAAATCATGAGTACCTCTTTGTGCTCACTGATCAGAATAGATCACTTGAGTATGGTGGCTTGGGGATCAAGGGGGAACATGGAGCCTTTTTTTGACCAGCAAATTGTGGGGGAAATTTCATTTTGGAAGGAGGAAAACTTGATGTCTGTGCAAAAAATGTGGAAAGATTGGGGAACAGCAAAGGTGTCAGTTGTCTTTATGGGCTGATTAAGTGGTTGGTACAAACCTCAGGTTCCTGAACCACTGATGGCCTAAGGTGCCCAGTGAAGGATGCTTAGGTTGTGTCTCTTTATATCTGTCACTTTCCTTTAGAGTCCCTCTATGGTCCCTGTTACTTCAATATATGTAATATACTCCTAGTAACTAACATAATTATTAAAATTTTCTTTTCCTGTTTTTCTTATGTTGTTCATGCAAATAGCACAGAGAATTAAAGGCACAATTTTTTCAGATCTAGCTTGTTGGGTTTCTTCAAAGGCTTTTTATAAGGTTATTCTGTTGCTTTAGCCATGAGAAGTTTTTAATATATGATTAGTTGGAAGATTCAAATGTAGAACAGTTTAATTTTTGAGTTACTGGGAAAAATGCCAGCCATAGATTTGGGAAAGTCTGAGTAATAAAATCATAAAGCTGGTTCATTGCTCAAATATGTTGTTATTTCAGCTGCCTCTGCCCACTGCATGTTCCTACAGGCTAAAAATGTCAATAGGCTTTTATATTAATAGCTATTTTAGGACTCTAATCTTAAAAGGCAGTACAATGAAAAAACCTTAGATTAATCAAGTGTCAAACACGTCAACTCTTCTTTCTTACTCTAGTTTAAGAAACTTCCACTCTTAATACTTGGATTATTAAAAATGCACAAGTTCACGTGTTGAGTTATCCTAAAATTAAATAACAGATGTTTAAACCACAAACCAGACAGGCACAATGGCATTTTTAGGAATTTATATAGAAGAAGCAAGAAATTGAATGTAAATGTGAAATGAGAAGATATTAAATGTAGTCAGCAGACAGAAGAAGGCAAAAGTAGCTCAAAACTCAGTGAGTTGGAAACAGGGAAAAGAATTTTTTTTTCCTTGCAAAATGGGCTCACACTGTAAGAATAATAAGGGCACTAATGTCAAATCAAGAAATGCAGAAGAATTTAATTTCATTACTGAAATAAAGCTGAAGTCTATGGCAGCATGTAGAAATAATAGCTAAGAAAAAAGTTAAATTATAACAGTAATCTAGATTCAAAACTGTTATCACAAGTAATCACAGDGGAATTCTCTGTTTCTCATATTGATTCTGAAGAAAGATCAAGAAAGCCTCAGAGCATTGGAGAAAGCTTAACAATATTCTGGTTTTTATAAACAGTATGTGGTACTCAGACACTGGTTTGTCTGGGGTTGATTGATTGCAAACTTTTAGAAAATTTATGAYCAGGCTGATATGGGAACTGACTCTGTGCAATAGAAATTCAAATCTAATAACAGAAATTCAAGTCTGACAATTGGAATGAAGGACCATGCAGTCCATGAATATAAAGGAAGGCAAAACCATTGTTCCTTTTTAGCTGAAATAGAGCATGTTGAACTTCGTCATAAGCAATTTTGGTTTGGTAGTGTTTATGTTGTGCGGAGAAGTCCTACAGGCTGCTAAAATGATAAAATTGGATCGTCTTCAGGAAACATGCATCTGACTAAATGTCAAAACCCTGCATTAGCTGCTTCAAAGCAATGGCTGAAAAATGGTACAAGTTTGTCAAAGAGCAGTACCCTGGTATCTATTTCTGTGTGAGATTCTTCTTTCTTGTTTTTGTGTTGACAAGATGATTGGGTCCCCCACAGCCTCAGCAGAGTTACTTACTTGTACAGAATTCTGGATCTTTAGAGCAAGAAAGGTTTCTGTTACAAAATGCATTGCTCTCTTAGTGGATTAGCAGACAAAGACTCAAGTTGCTTAGTTCTTATATGAGAGAATGTGGCTGAATTTCTAATGCATATCTTTCAGAAAAAAATGTCAGCTGTAGATGCTGTATTTTAGGGAAATATTTTGGGAGGGGTGAATGCACAAAAAACAAGTTAGAAAAWTTTTCAGAGATTCATATATTGTACTGCTTACCTCCCTTATGCTTCTGAGGTATGAAAGGACAAGGCAGCTGGAAGTTTTATTGCTTTCTCATCTGGGTTTTTGGTTTGTTTTTCAGATCCGACAYGAGACTCATGTGAGCTTGCCACATCTTGCCTAATGGAATTGCTCATACTTTCACTTCTGTAAAAGAAAAGATTTGGATTCTTCCTAGTGGCAGTGATACTACTCACTCACTGTAAGTCAGTCTTCCTTGTCAAGGCTGTGTTGCCCTCCCTCTGGGAAAGCAGAGGTTAAATTAATGTGGAGCCTGTTTTAGCCAAGAGAGTGCATGATCAAAGGARCTGTGTAAGAACCTTCTTGGTATGAAGAATGGAGAATGGGAGAGGACTATAGTCTAATTGCAAAGGGGCAGCACTCAGTCCCCTTTTGGGATAAGACATTGTGCTTAATTATATGTCCAGAAGAACTGAAGGAAGTAGGAAGGAAATGGAATAGGTAAACCTGAAGCTGTGCTAAYGTAACTTTTTATTCTGCTGGAATAAGGGTAATTTTTCAAAAATACCTCAAAGCTGTGTTACTTTTGAGGGAAATGGTGAGAAAATACCATTTTTTGGGTTGTACTGTGTTTGGGTTCCCTTCAGTCTTAGGCTTTAGGGTTTCCACTGATCACCCACCGAGTCAGGAAGGGGGACTCTCACCCATGGCACCATTGGACTCTGTGGTTTGTGTCTTGTGCTGAAGTGCTCTCCCTAGACTGCAGCCAGGAAGGACTTTGGCAAGGTTGAGATTATGTTATTGATGACATTGAAGAACTTCTTGTCTTGCTCATGTGTTTTTTTGCCTGAGGTTCACRGGCAGATTGTGAGATTTAGCATTAKGAGAAATTTCTGACCTGAGACATATTTCCAGCCATGGCACTTGTGGCATTTTATCTTTGCTAATAGCATCTAAATGTAGTCACAGTGCATTCTGAATGCTTAAGAATTTCTATCTTGGTGTAGGGACATGGATAATGTATTTGAACTTTCTGGTTAGCTGCTTGTGTCAACTTTTTAATGTTTGTAGATGTATGTCTGTGTGTATAAATATATATATTCTTGTCCCTTTAAGCCTGTACAGACTAGATTAGTATTTTAGAGCACACAGGACAGTCAGGATGTTGTAGGCCTTACACGTGTAATTTGAATATTTGATTGCATTTTTGGAAGGCTGAATGTTCTGAACTGTGCAGTTCTTAGTCCTATATATAAACTGACAATGGTAAAATCTTGATAGACTTACATGGATCTTATACTTGTAAACCAGAATATCACCCTRCTGTTTGCACTTATTTCTTACTGAACTTGCATCTGTGTTTGTGTAGGCTTAATCACTGCCTTAAGCTTGGTGAATTTTTGGGCTGAACCTCTGTTCCTGTKGTGAGTTTGTAAAAGGTATCACTAGCTCTGTGTTGCTCAGTAGGAWCTTGCTTTCCTCTGGAAAGCTGGCGATGAGTCATGAAAACATGAAGTATGTAGCAGGCACAAGGACTGAATCTTTGCTGGATGTGGCTGCTGTAAAGCACATTAAAAGCCATGCATGTTTTCGGATCCTGTAAAGCTTAAAATATGTCAGAGGAGGAAYGCAATGAGTGGAAAATACTTTCACTTGGTTATTTCTGCCACACTGCACCAATGGGAGGTGCCTGGTTGCTCTAGGATCCTTTTACCTATGAAGATAGTGGAGTTTATCAACACTATTACAAAACAGTTCACTGATAAAGTTGGGAAGTTTTATGTTTAAGTAGCAAACTAAAGTTTTGTGATTGCCTCATGACTTTCAAAAAATTTCTATACGTGGCAGAAATTAACGTAGACCTGCCCCACCCCAGTGTGCATCACATGGCAATTTTATTTACAGAGCATGTTCCTGTGAAACAGATATGTTTGTGAATTCACATGGAGTCATGCAGGAAACCTGTGAAAAACTCTGAGCAAGACCTTATCTGCTCATCCTAATCTTTCTAGTGTACCCAATTGAAGGGCAGCTTTAGTAGTTCTGAAAGGAAAGGTGGTAGATTTACAGGGATACAAAACTGACAATGTTTGAAGAGGTACAAAAAGGGAATTTTTCATTGCTCCTCTAATAGTGGTAGTAGGAGACTACTACTGGAGCAACATTTTATCTCACATTAACACATGGTATAATTTCACTGAATAGCTCTATACCTTTTGAAAAATGGAAAAAATGGTAGCTGATGCTCAAAGTGAATTCACCTATAAATGGCAATCTTAAATTCACTTTTATAACCTTGAAAATTGAATCTATGTCTTTTACAGAAGCAACTTCCATATGTTACCGAGCTTTAGAAGAATACTGCTCTCCTGAATGTAGGAWAATACCGTGATCCTCATTCCTCAGTCTGCATAAATTTTTTTAAAAAACTTCATGAAACCCCTGTATATTCAGGTCTTTGACGGTATTTTCTCTTAGTTTTGCCAACCTAAAATTTCAAGCTGAGTTCTCTAGTACCAATATTGTGTACATTGCCTATTTGGTTTTATCTCACTTGTGAAAGGTATTTAACTTGACTTTTTAAGCTGAATATTGGCAGTTCAATGTTGTCTGCTGGCTCTTTGTGAATAGTCTTATATGAAAAACTCTTCATACAGAACTAAATTCTGTATTAAAATATGTCATTTAATACTTCCTTTGTAGGAAAAAGAGGCCAAACCTTAGCATGGATATGTTTGTAAATGCAAAACTAACCAATGTACACAACCCTAGCTTTTCTTCGTGTACAAGCTCATGACTATGAATTAAGCCACACTCTCAGATGTGTTTCTTTTGGAATTAGCTATGAATATTTGTACAAACTTGTTCAGTGACTAGTGGCATAGGTAAATCTCCTGGAAAAAAAAAATGGAAAAAGGAAGAAAAAGGCTGTATGTTAACTTACTGTCTTACTAGTTGCCATTGAAACAGATTTGTTTTGTTATTAAGACCTAAACAAACTATTACATCTGAGTATCATGGATGGTATCTGTGGATGGGAGGGGTGAATAAGGTTACCTGCCTCATAGAAGCATAATTTGTATTTTTTAGTTTTAGTCATAGATACTTTGGTTTAAAACAGAAAACATCTGCTTAGACAGAGGGGCTGTTTGAAACAAGTGGACTGCTGGTTTAGTATTACTTCAGAATAAAGTAATTTTTAGGGTTTGTTTCAGTAGTAAATAAATTTTTCTGAAATTATGAAAAGGTGGATGGAATCTATYGGTGCAGTTTCATTAATACAGCATTACAAATAATTTGTAATTTAAATGCATTTTTTAGGGTAAGTTGTTGCTTGTAAATGCCAGGACATATCAGGCTGATGTTTGACTTGAGGTGGCCTGATGAGGTTGTGAACTCCTTGGCCCTGTGGAGACCATTCTCTCTGGTTTAGGGACAGACTATGTCACAAACATGAAAATTCAGGTCTTTTTAGTTACTGCTTCCCTCTTTGGCAGAGACTATGAACTTTAAGTGCTTGAAGTAGCTAATTAGCATAGCCAAAAGTAAATTAGAAGATCATGAGTCTTGTCTCCTGCTATGGAAACTTTATATTCCTTATGCTTAAATGCAGAGAAAAGCAGCAACTGCTGTGTGTCTGGTTGTTCCAGAGACAATYAGCTGGGTCACCCTTCCCATTTTAKCAATGGRAATGAGTTGCCTTCTCACTGACATTGCAGTGAGGAATTTTACAGAGTGAGATTTTGCATTTTGCTTACAGAAAGTGATACAGAGAATCCATATTCTTACCAGTGAAAATGATTTCATCACACCCTCACTGAGCAGAACCATACTCTTTTCATGAACTCAGTCCTTTGATGTCATAATTTATTTTTTTTTTTTGTTTAGAGGAGCCAAAAGAACTTGCCTTTTCTTTTAAGAGTGGCTCTAAGAGACCATCTCTGTCTTTCAGTATATGTTTGAACATGTGCTTCTACCAGTCTTTTCAAAAAAAGATGGGATAAATTTTTCTTCTCTTTGCTTATGTAAACTCTGGCAATTTCTTTACTTGCCCACCAGCTGAAGAATAAAATAAAGACAAATCAGAAGGAAGAAGATTTGTCATGTTTCCAAGGTGGCCTTGGAAATTAATTAATGAAGACCAACCATTTCATTAATGAAGACCACACCTGTACAGCTGTGTAGTTGTATAGCTTCAGGGCTCCTCTTTCCAATTGTACAACAGCAAAGGTTTCATGTGCAGGTGAACTGCAGGAGAGTGGAAGGGAAGGTTTGCAGTTTTTGGTGGGCTCCTCAAGTTTGGTAATGAGGATGTGAGACAATCCCCAATCCTGCCATGTGCAGTGGTGAATGAGATATGGCTTTGGCCTCTAGTGACTGTTGCTGATTTGCTGATTTATATGCCTTGTACTCACATTTGCTCCAGAGAAAAGGTCATATGATTGTTTTAATTCATAAGGCGGTTTCTTGTAGCACCAGAAGAAAAAATGAAAATTACGTTGTTCCTTTAGGTTGGAAGTGGCTTCCTATTAAGCAGAAAAATATTATGATTATTGAAGTAGTTAATTTTCAAGGAGAAATAAAGATCATTTTAAAGACWGAGTAAAATGTTACCAGTATAATTTTTTGACCTACCTGTGTAAAGTTAAGTGGCTTCTTCAGTTTCAGTCTGTGGGCTTCTGTTACATTAATGTGTGTTTTACTCTTGTTTTATCCTGGTGTGCTTGCTCAAGAATGTAGTCTGTCATAAATTTTTTTTGTTGCAGTTCTTATCAAGGCCTATATGAGCGATGAAAAATGGTCAAACTCAAWGAAGGATGATTATCAATAGTGCTGAATAAACAGTGTATTTGTGAAAATTTAATGTTTGCAATATTTGTTTAATAAGTTTTTTTAAACTTATCAAACTTTATGCATCTCAGACACAAAATGCCTATTSTGGAGACATGTGTTCTTTAGTTACCAAATAATAGCAAGAGGTTTTCAGAATAGAAGTACATTCTCTTCCATGACTTTTCAAGAACATGAACATTCTGGGAGAAAACTAGGAAAGATGTTACCTGACATGGAGTAAAACATGCTGTCTGGTAATTTGCAGACACAATAGTGAGCATCAGAGTAATGATGAAGACAAATGCATTATAAAAGATAATGATAAAATAAAATGATGAAAAAACTTTTAAGAAACCTCCAATGTAGCAGCATGTTTTACTCTTTCACTGCTCTTCCTTTCTGTTCAGG